TTTCTGATGAAGGGTCTAGGCCCGAAACGTCAGCCTTCCTGCTCCTGTGGTGCTGCTTGGCCTGCTGTGTTCGTCCAGCTGTACACCTCGTTGTCTCAGATTCTCCAGCATCTGCAGTTCCTACTATCTCTCATACCCTCTAATGCTCTATTGTGCCATCATTATGTTTATTTGCCCTCTTCACAATTATTGTCACCTATCCATTACAACATACTGTCTCCAATCCCCAGAATTGACTTCCCTGACTTTAACCCCCCCTCTACAGCCCTTGACTTTAATTGAACTCCCCCCAGAACTGACCACAGCCAACCCCAAATGATGTGTGAGCAAGGCCTGACTGACTCTGTGCAGCTCCCTAACTGACTTACTATATGTCCCAGGCTGGTTGAGCTAGACCTGCAGGACTCACTGTGGACCACTTTCTGGATTGCAGTGATATAGAACCCCTTTACCTGACAGCACCAATGGGCCTACTGACATCAAATGGTTTGGACAGATATCAGGCACTGTCCTTGACTTATTGTGCCCAGACCCTCTGACTGAAGGCTACATTTCTTGACTTCCTCAAGGACTATTCCCTTTACACTTTTAGGTAAGACCAGACCACAATGCTGTGCTTCTCCTCCCAGATTACAAGCAGAAGTTGAAATATAGAAAGTCGTACAGTGCTGGTCTGAGGCAGCAGAACAGTTTCTTCAGGACTTGGAATCTGTAATTGCCCTTGAACTGATTTGGCTGTCTTGGATATTCAGAGAGCAGTTAAGAATCAACCACACTGGTGTGGGTTTGAGTCATTTGGAGGCCAGACCAGGTAGGGATGACAGATTTCCTTCTCTAAAGGACATAAGGATTTCTTTTAATATAATGGTTGCACAGTCACCATTAGACTAGCCTTTCATTCCAATTTTTTTCAATTCAAATTCCACAATCTGCCTTGGTGGAACTCACTTACATCCCAAGAATATTTGTGTGGTCTTTGGAATACCAATCCAGTAAGGTTAGCACTACACCACTCCTCCCCATATCAGTAAGGCTTGTTGATAGTTCGTATATTGCTGCCTATTGAAAGCAAAGTCAGAAGTCACACGACACCAGGTTATAGTCCAGCAGGTTTATTTGAAATCCCAAGCTTTCGGAGCACCTGACAAAGGAGTAACACTCCGAAAGCTTGTAATTTCAAATAAACCTGTTGGACTATAACATGGTGTCGTGTGATTTCTTACTTTGTCCACCCCAGTCCAACACATTATTGAAAGCACCTATGTTTTGCATAGGAAATCACAGTATGCATTACATACAAAAATTTTCTGTTAAAAATAATTGAAGACCAAACATCACTGTATCTCTTGTTAGGCATGATAAAATAACATCAAATTCTACACTATTGAGTCTTCTGTTAGCAAAATTAGTACTTTTGCATTATAAATCTCACCAGTAATTGGTGTTTCCTGGCTTTAGTTTTGCAAATATCTTTTTAGCCTATTCTAATATTTCTTTTCCATAGTATGCCTGTTACTTCTCTTTTGCTCACCATTTTGAGCACATTAATGGATTTATTTGAATTGAGGATACTCTTATGCAGAACTATTTAGGCAAATATGCCTGACACCTGAAAAACTCCCTCGGGCAGTTGTAGCAGTGTGACTTAATTGACAGTAATCTTCATTACTTATCATAGGACTGTAATCTTCAAATCGGATATAAGTTGTGGCAGTTAATAGAACAGAGATAGCTTTGCACTTTGATGTTCCCAGTGGTAGGGGCTGACAGTGTATTCTGCAGCAAATGGAATCTTGTGGAAGCTTAGTTTTATTTTCAGTTGATCGTCTGACTGATGAAGAACATTGAAGTTCCTTTTAAGATGGTTAATCGGATGAGCTTAATCAGTGAATTAACCTGTCCTTGCCCACTCTTATGTAGAGCTGGTCAAACACCTTGAGCACTGTTTAACTGCTTTTGTCACTTTCAGGCTCAGTAATTTCAGTGCTGTTCCAGAGGAACTTTTACTTTTGGTTCCCCTGAATCTCTATGTCTTACTTCAAACTAATTTGCAGTCATTCCTCACCTCCATCCTTGCGTATCTGCATACAATTCCAGTCCCTAAACCTCAAAATAAAATTCTCATCCTTGTTTTGAAAGCTTGATTCTTCACCTTCAATGTTTGGGCAACTTCTTCCAGTCCTCCCATTTTGTCACACTTTCAGCACCCATTTACCCCCTGTTCCTCTGACTTTGGCCACGTCCTTGACCCATTCATCCTGCTATGCTTTCAGCCACCTTGACCTAGAAATCTTCCTTAAGCTTTTCCATCTCTCTCTCTGCCTTAAAATCCCAATTTTTCTCACATTTCTCTGAAGCCCCAGTTGATGTTTTAGTGCATTCTGATCTGCTTGCAGTTGTGAGTTAGTACAGCGTTCATCCGCAGACTGAACAGAGTTGTGTGTTCCTGTGAGTGTACGCTTTCTTTTTGAAAAACGAACTAAAATTAACTCTGACTTAACACAGTTCCTTTTCACTAAGAGGGCATTAACCCGCATTGCTTCCAAACATTATTCTCTCGAATTCTAACCGGGGGCAAACCCGCATAAGTTAATGTCTCAGATGTCATTCAGGCCTCAGTAACAGTTTTTCAGTCTTTGCTTTCTGTTTTTATTACTTTGAATGCTTATCCCAATGAAGGAAACTGCTTATTACCACCAAACAGTTTAACAAATTCACTACCAGAAAAGTTACTAAATAAGGCTGCTTATCATCTCATCCACTTCTCATTTGTGCCCTAAAATGTGACTGAATTTTTTTTTCTCATTCAGATGGAATGTTCATATCTTGCATTTAATTTGCTGGCAAGATGGCATTGAAATTCTGTCTTAAATATTTTTACTTCTGTTGACAGGATTCTAGCCAGATTGAATTGTTGAAGGAGCTCCTGGACTTACAGAAAGACATGGTAGTGATGCTGCTTTCATTACTGGAAGGTAAATGCAAAGGTGCATTCAATGCATTGGAATCAGATAAGGTAACTTGTCTTGTATGAAAAAGCAAAACAAGCTAAATCTTCATTCAGTTCACTTCAACAAGCCCATGTACTATCTTGAATTAACAATTCCCTTCATAACCAGATCTTTCATATAGCTCATCACCCAAAGCAGAATTGGAAATGCTGTCCTTCAATTGTACAGGGCTTTACTTGAAACTGCACTTGGAACTCGGTATTTTGGTCTCGGTATTTAAGGAAGCATACATATCCATTGAAAACAGTACAGCGAAGGTTCACTAGATTACTCCCTGGGATATGAGGGTTGTCCTATGATGAGAGGCTGTATAAATTGGGTTTGTGTTCTCTGCAGTTATAAAGAATGAGATGTGATGTGGTCACAGAGGTCAACAGCACAGGAAAAAGCCCTTTTCCCATCGGTCTGCATCAATCAAAACAAGTACCTAACTATTCTCATTCCATTTTCCAACATTTGGCCTACAGCCTTGTATGTCTTGAAACAGTTAGTGCACTTGCAAATACTAATTAGATGTTATGAGGGTTTCTACCTTTACTACCATTACAGACAGTGAGTTCCAGATTCCCTGCACCCTGTGGAGGAGAAGAATGTTTGCTTACATCCCCTCTAAACCTCTGCCCCTTAATTTAAATCTGTGCTCCATGGTTATTGATCATGCTCCCCCTCCGTCTCTGTGCTCCAAGAAAATCAACCCAGGCCTATCTAATCTCACTTTACAACTGAAATTCTTCAGCCCAGGCAACATCCTGGTAAATCTCCTCTGCACCCTCTCCAGTGCAATCACATCCTTTCTGTAATGTGGATTCCAGAACTACACGTAATATTCTAGCTGTGGCCTAAACAACTATAAACTCTATGTCTTGAATAATAGAGGTAAATCTTTAGGTAATCTTAGGTAAATAAAGGTAATATCCCATATGCTTTCTTAACTTGTCCCACTACCTTAAGGTATTGGTGCACATACACACCAAGGTCCCTCTGATCTTCGGCGCTTCCTAGGGTCATACTGTTTGTCAGCTATTCCCTTGCCTTGTTTGTCCTGCCCAAGTGCATGATCTCACACTTATCCAGATTAAATGATCTTATTGAAACATACAGATTACAAAGGGAGATGATGCTGCCTTTTGGAAATGACGAATAAGACCTGACTCTGAAACTCTGCCAGCCTATCCCAATTCCCAGTGCCCCAGTTTTTCCAAGTGCAGGAGCAGAATGGAGTGCATTCTGAACTTGGCTAGTTCCATAGTGGAATAGGTGTTTCCTGGATCCTGAAATTTTCATGGAGTCAAACCAGAATCTGAAGGACTTGTAGTTCATAGCCCTCAGAAGAGTCATGAACAATAGTCTGGATGCAGGAATCTTTTTAAAGCTAACTTCCATAGGAATCCACACTACCCATTCCCAATGGAGTCTCATATCATCTGTGCCAGCCACTGCACTTCAATACCCATTTACCCAGTATACATGCTGCACAGAACCAATGAACCCTATACAAATAATAGCACATGATCTAAGGAAAATGTTATCAATAAAGTAATAACTTACCCTGCAAGCACCTGTTTCAACAAACTAATAGAAGTCTGCGCTGTCAATAAAGGTTTAATAAGGTTTAGCTGAGAACCAAGACTACCATCAGTTGTTGCACCAAATGATGCAGGGAAATCATTGCTTGATTGACGGCTTTTTCTTTCCTCCTATCTATTTTGTCAATGGCTCAATGTTTATTTACACAAAATTGTGATGATATGTTCCACCATTACTGCTTCAAAGGTATGGTTGTTTTAAAGAGTTATTGCAAAAGCAGTTCTTTTAAGAATGTTATGATTTGGAAATTTTTAAGCCTTTCCACATATGTAGGAGTTGTTACCTCAATCCATTCATAATTTATAATTGTTCAGGAGTGGCCAGAAGCTTTCCCGCTTCTGTTCAGTTTCTGATTTCATCCATCCAGCCAGTCCACCTCCGGCCTGCTCTTTTTTCCCTGATGTTGCATCTTCTATTGTTGCCAGCAAGAGACTCTCACCCTGTCTTTTACAGTTGTCTACATCCTTCATTTCCACTTCTTCACATCAGCTCATAGTCTATCAGATATCACTTACTGTGAAATTAAACTACACACAGTTCCCTCCTTTATGTAGAATTTGGCAATGCTTTTTAGTGAGTAAAACGTAATCATTATGCTCTATTTCTCATGCTGTACACAACACATTGAAAAATAAAGAGTGGGTAAAGCAGCAACAATTTTTTCCTTCAGACTTGGACTACATATAGGAGCACTTTATTTTTCAACATCATGACATATGTTCTTATTTGTTACTTTCAGGAAATGTTGTGAACGGCACTATTGCTAAACAAATGGTGGACATGTTGGTGGAGTCCTCTAGTAATGTTGAAATGATCCTGAAGTTTTTTGACATGTTCCTGAAACTGAAGGACATTGTGGCATCTGATGCATTCAAAGATTATGTGACTGATCCCAGAGGGCTTATCTCAAAGAAGGATTTCCATAAGGCCATGGATAGCCAGAAGCAATACACACCTTCTGAGATCCAGTTCTTACTATCATGCTCAGAAGCAGATGAGAATGAGATGATAAACTATGAAGAATTTGCAAACCGATTCCAAGAACCAGCCAAAGATATTGGTTTTAACATAGCTGTGTTACTCACAAACCTATCTGAACATGTGCCTCATGACACAAGGCTGCAAAACTTCTTGGAATTGGCAGACAGCATCCTCACCTATTTCCAGCCTTACTTAGGCCGCATTGAGATCATGGGTGCCAGTAAGAGAATAGAGCGTATTTACTTTGAGATTAGTGAGGCCAATAAAACTCAATGGGAGATGCCTCAAGTCAAAGAATCTAAGCGACAGTTTATATTTGATGTCGTGAACGAAGGTGGGGAATCTGAAAAGATGGAACTCTTTGTCAACTTCTGTGAGGATACCATCTTTGAAATGCAAATTGCTTCAAAGATCTCTGAAACAGATGAGGGGGAAAAGTCAGAAGATGAAGAGGAGGAAGGGGAGAACATTGAGGTGATAGAGGCTGAAAAAATCACTTCTCCAGCTGAGACACCATCTGCCTTTGCAGCATTCATTAGCAGTGTTGCTGACTTTTTAAAAATATTCACCTTCAAAAATATCAGAAAAAAATACCGCAAAATAAAGAAGATGACAATTAAAGAGATGGTGATGGCCCTGGTGACCTTCTTTTGGACTTTGTTCATTGGCATTTTACAATTTATCTATAGCATCTGCAGTGGTTTCTTTATGATAGTATGGAATACCTTGTTTGGAGGTGGTTTAGTTGAAGGGGCCAAACATCTGACAGTCACTGAACTCCTGGCTAGTATGCCTGATCCTACTCAGGATGAAGTTCACGCTGACCTTCCTGACATTAGTAAGACAGAAGTTGAGGAAACGACTGTGCAGTCAGAGTTTGAAGACCAAGCTAAAGAAGAGGAAACATCTGAGAAGCCTGATACAAAGAGAGAAAGTGGCCAGTTAAGGATGTGCTCACCAGAATCCAACCTGGGACTTGGTGATATTGTGGAGTCCACACCTGTTGAACCTCCAACCCCCGAGGGAACACCACCAAGTTTCAGAAAAGTGAGGGTAAGGACCTTACAATTCTTTCCAGCTTGAAATATCAAGCCAGGCCTCAGATTTAATTCCTCTTTAGAGATACCACATTTAACAGCATGCACACATTATCTGTTATCAGTCATTTTCCTTTCCAATTTGAATTCTTTATATTATTGGATTCTATGCCCAAAAGGGGCGGCACAGTGACCCAGTGGTTAGCACTGCTGCCTCACAGCGCCAGGGACCTGGGTTCAATTCCACCCTCGGGCGACTGTCTCTGTGGAGTTTGCATGTTCTCCCCGTGTCTGCGTGGGTTTCCTCCCACAGTCCAAAAATGTGCAGGCTAGGTGAATTGGCCATGCTAAATTGCCCGTAGTGTTCAGGGATGTGTAGATTAGGTGGGTTATAGGGGGATGGGTTTGGGTGGGTGCTCTGAGGGTCGGTGTGGACTTGTTGGTCCGTAAGGATTCTACAAAAAAAAAGCCGTCTGACCTACAACGCAACCTCTTCTATCATGGTAGGGCATTAGTCAGGTCCTAAATTCACCCCAGCCAGAATGAGACTCAAACTCCATGCTGTTGATACTAATCTGATCCATATTGGCTGTCCAGCTAGCCTAAGATGCAGTTTTACATGCATAGTCTGGAGCTATGGATAGTTAAAGTAGAGGCTCCAATGTTCTTTCCATCACACAGCTGACCAGGAATCTCACCCAGTCTTATCATCTCCTATTGATGTATGTTGGAAGGAATTACAAGTTAATATTCAACCTGTTTGGCCACGGTATGAATTCACCTTGATTGCCAAGCCCTAGGGTGCAACTGAGGTTGGGAGTTTCTGTCTCAGATGCAGAGACACTACAACCATGCCGCAAGACATAGAACGTAGAACATTACAGCGCAGTACAGGCCCTTTGGCCCTCGATGTTGCGCCGACCTGTGAAACCAATCTGAAGCCCACCTAACCTAAACTATTCCATTATCATCCATATGTTTATCCAATGACCATTTAAATGCCCTTAAAGTTGGCGAGTCTACTACTTTTGCAGGCAGGGCATTCCACGCCCTTACTACTCTCTGAGTAAAGAACCTACCTCTGACATCTGTCCTATATCTATCACCTCTCAATTTAAAGCTATGTCCCCTCGTGCTAGCCACCACCATCCAAGGAAAAAGGCTTCCGCTGTCCACCCTATCTAATCCTCTGATCATCTTGTATGTTTCTATTAAGTCACCTCTTAACCTTCTTCTCTCTAACGAAAACAGCCTCAAGTTCCTCAGCCTTTCCTCATAAGACCTTCCCTCCATACCAGGCAACATCTTGGTAAATCTCCTCTGCACCCTTTCCAATGCTTCCATATCCTTCCTATAATGCGGTGACCAGAACTGTACGCAATACTCCAAGTGCGGCCGCACCAGAGTTTTGTACAGCTGCAACATGACCTCATGGCTCCGAAACTCAATCCCTCTAGCAATAAAACCTAACACACCGTACGCCTTCTTAACAACCCTGTCAACCTGGGTGGCACCTTTCAGTGATCTATGCACATGGACACCGAGATCTCTCTGCTCATCCACACTACCAAGAATCTTACCATTAGCCCAGTACTCTGTATTCCTGTTACTCCTTCCAAAGTGAATCACCTCACACTTTTCCGCATTAAACTCCATTTGCCACCTCTCAGCCCAGCTCTGAAGCTTATCTATGTCCCTCTGTAACCTGCAACATCCTTCCGCACTATCCACAACTCCACCGACTTTGGTGTCATCCGCAAATTTACTAACCCATCCTTCTACGCCCTCATCCAGGTCATTTATAAAAATGACAAACAGCAGTGGCCCCAAAACAGATCCTTGAGGTACACCACTAGTAACTGAACTCCAGGATGAACATTTCCCATCAACCACCACCCTCTGTCTTCTTACAGCCAGCCAATTTCTGATCCAAACCACTAAATCACCCTCAATCCCATGCCTCCGTACTTTCTGCAATAGCCTACCATGGGGAACCTTATCAAACGCTTTACTGAAATCCATATACACCACATCAACCGCTTTACCCTCATCCACCTGTTTAGTCACCTTCTCAAAAGAACTCAATAAGGTTTGTGAGGCACGACCTACCCTTCACAAAACCGTGTTGACTATCCCTAATCAGATTATTCCTTTCTAGATGATTATAAATCCTATCTCTTATAATCCTTTCCAACACTTTACCCACAACCGAAGTAAGGCTCACTGGTCTATAATTACCAGGGTTGTCTCTACTCCCCTTCTTGAACAAGGGGACAACATTTGCTAGTCTCCAGTCTTCTGACACTATTCCTGTAGACAATGACGACATAAAGATCAAAGCCAAAGGCTCTGCAATCTCCTCTCTAGCTTCCCAGAGAATCCTAGGATAAATCCCATCCGGCCCAGGGGACGTCTCTATTTTCACACCTTCCAGAATTGCTAACACCTCCTCCTTATGAACCTCAATCCCGTCTAGTCTAATAGCCTGTATCTCAGTATTCTCCTCAACAACATTGTCTTTTTCCTGTGTGAAAACTGACGAAAAATATGCATTTAGCGCCTCTCCTATCTCTTCAGACTCCATGCACAACTTCCCACTACTGTCCTTGACTGGCCTTAATCTTACTCTAGTCATTCTTTTATTCCTGACATACCTAGAGAAAGCTTTAGGGTTTTTCTTGATCCTACCTGCTAAAGACTTCTCATGTCCCCTCCTGGCTCTTCTTAGCTCTCTCTTTAGGTCCTTCCTGGCTAACTTGTAACTCTCAAGTGCCCGAACTGAGCCTTCACGCCTCATCTCTACATAAGCCTCCTTCTCCCTCTTGACAAGAGATTCAACTTCTTTAGTAAACCACGGTTCCCTCGCTCGACCACTTCCTCCCTGCCTGACAGGTACATACTTCTCAAAGACACGCAGTAGCTGTTCCTTGATCAAGCTCCACATTTCAGTTGTGCCCAGCCCCTGCAGTTTCCTTCTCCATCCTATGCATCCTAAATCTTGCCTAATCGCCTCATAATTGCCTTTCCCCCAGCTATAACTCTTGCCCTGCGGGATATACCTATCCCTTTCCATCGCTAAAGTAAACATAACTGAATTGTGGTCACTATCACCAAAGTGCTCACCTACCTCCAAATCTAACACCTGGCCTGGTTCATTACCCAGTACCAAATCCAATGTGGCCTCGCCTCTTGTTGGCCTATCTACATACTGTGTCAGGAAACCCTCCTGCATACATTGGGCAAAAACTGACTCATCTAAAGTACTCGAACTATAGCGTTTCCAGTCAATGTTTGGAAAGTTAAAGTCCCCCATAACAACTACCCTGTTACTTTCGCTCCTATCCAGAATCATCTTTGCAATCTTTTCCTCTACATCTCTGGAACTTTTCGGAGGCCTATAGAAAACTCCCAACAGGGTGACCTCTCCTTTCCTGGTTCTAACCTCAGCCCATACTACCTCAGTAGACGAGTTCTCATCAAACGTCCTTTCTGCCACCGTAATACTGTCCTTGACTAACAGTGCCACACCTCCCCCTGTTTTACCACCTTCCCTGATCTTACTGAAACATCTAAACCCCGGAACCTGCAACAACCATTCCTGTCCCTGCTCTATCCATGCCTCCGAAATGGCCACAACATCGAAGTCCCAGGTACCAACCCATGCTGCAAGTTCACCCACCTTATTCCGGATGCTCCTGGCATTGAAGTAGACACACTTCAAACCACCTTCCTGCCTGCCGGTACACTCCTGTGACCTTGAAACCTTATTCATGACCTCACTATTTTCAACCTCCTGTACACTGGAGCTACAATTCAGGTTCCCATCCCCCTGCTGAATTAGTTTAAACCCTCCCGAAGAGCATTAGTAAATTGCCCCCCCAGGATATTGGTACCCCTCTGGTTCAGGTGTATACCATCCCGTTTGTAGAGGTCCCACCTACCCCAGAATGAGCCCCAATTATCCAGGTATCTGAATCCCTTCTTCCTGCACCATCCCTGTAGCCACGTGTTCAACTGCTCTCTCTCCCTATTCCTCGCCTCGCTAGCATGTGGCACAGGTAACAAACCAGAGATAACAACTCTGTTTGTTCTAGCTCTAAGCTTCCACCCTAGCTCCTTGAATTTCTGCTTTACATCCCCATCCCTTTTCCTACCTATGTCGTTGGTGCCTATGTGGACCACGACTTGGGGCTGCTCCCCCTCCCCCCTTAAGGATCCCGAAAACACGATCTGAGACATCATGGACCCTGGCATCTGGGAGGCAACACACCAACCGCGAATCTCTCTCGTTCCCACAGAATCTCCTATCTGTCCCCCTAACTATGGAGTCCCCAGTGAGTACTGCTCTCCTCCTCTTCCCCCCTTTCCTTCTGAGCAACAGGGACATACTCTGTGCCAGAGACCTGTACCCCATGGCTTACCCCTGGTAAGTCGTCCCCCCCCAACAGTATCCAAAACGGTATACTTGTTTTTGAAGGGAATGGCCACAGGGGATCCCTGCACTGTCTGCCTGTTCCCTTTCCGTCCCCTGACTATAACCCATCTACTTTTTTCTTGTACCTGAGGTGTGACTACCTCCCTGTAACTCCTGTCAATTACCCCCTCAGCCTCCCGAATGATCCGAAGTTCATCCAGCTCCAGCTCCAGTTCCCTAACGCGGTTTCCAAGGAGCTGGAGTTGGGTGCACTTCCCGCAGATGAAGTCAGTGGGGACACTAGTGGTGACCCTTACCTCCCACATTCTACAGGAGGAGCATGCAATTGCCCTAACATCCATTCCCACTGTTCTGAATTCCCAATCAGACTATTAAAAAAAAACTAGTAGCCTTACCAAATCAGCGCTCAGAACCTTTTTTTTTGGTTAGAGGAGGAGGATGGGTGGGAGGACACTACCTAGGTAGTGTTTCGGGTAAAGCAACCGCCCAAATATATTACCTCACTTACTCCAAAAATGGAGTCACGCGAGGCAAGACTTTTATAATCGAAAAATTTACCTTCCCAGGCTGCCCTCGCGCTTCCTCCCGGACTCCCGCCGCTGAAACAACTGAAAAAAAAGGCCACCTATTTGAATTGACAATTGAATATGAAGAGAAAAATAAACCTTAAACCCTAAAGCAAGTGAGCAAAATATTGAGCCTGTACTTTGTTTCCTCCCCACGTTCGTTGACTCTTATGCCAGAATTCAACCTAAATGGCAGGATATTGAATAAAATATGGGGTGCTACCTGGTGGAGTTTGGAAAACTGCAGTGTTCATTTTTATCTCATAATCACTTGGTGGATTAAGTCTTGACAATTTTGTCTTATCTTCCTGTCTAACTGCTGTTTCATCAGAGGCCATTGTTAAGACTTCTGTCGAGTTTTTATTTCAATACCTAGATCTGCAGTAAATGTTATTATAGCAATTGCAAAATGCTCTCTTACTTTTTAACAGCAACAGATTGAATCTCAGCTAGAACCCAAGGTAGAAGATCAACTCAAGGCTGAAGCTGAGAAAGCGGAGTGAGTCTTTTTTAATATTTTTTAATCTACAGCTTTTGTTTTAAGGGCAAGGATGTGGAAATGTGACTTCATGTCAGCATAATAAAAATGTTTTTCTTTCTTAATTGTTCAGCTGTTATTAGATCATTTAAAAATAATGTTGATAAATAGGATGCCAAAATAGTATTCCAGTACTCACTCTCAGTAACAATTCCTGCTTTTCACCAACCGTTTCACCAAGAACAAACTCTGTTTATTTCCCAGAGTTCTGGTTTTGCTCAGCTGTATCAAATAAATACTGCTTGAGCTTTTCAACTCCCTCTGTCAGCTATATTGAGCTATTAGTGACTCTCACATTTAAGTCCCTAATGGCTCAGGACTTTTCCTGAACCTTGACTTGAATACTCACTGCATACTAATTGCTAGAACCTATCCCTGAGTTCTAACAGCAGAACAATCCATTTGCTCTTGTCTATTCATTTATTTCCCCTACACACAACTAACGTGGTTTAGTTGCCTTCCCAGCAGCATAGCAAAAAGCAGTACTACCTAACATAGAGTCTACTTCTCTTTATCCCATACTCACTGTCTTTTCTATCTGCTTGAAACCTGTGAGCTTCTCTTTAGTGATCCCCGAACTGTCCTGAGTGACTTATTCCATTCCAATACACAACTTCTCAATAAAATGACTTTTAATAAAAATTGAATTTTTCCTACAAAAAACATCCTTAGAATCAAAACCATTGAGCATAGGAGTCCATCTTTTAAGAACAATCCAGTTACTCCTAGTTTTCTAGGTTTTTCTCCACGTCAATGCATTTCTTTCTCCTAGAGGTATGTGCAAGCTACAACCACTTGAAACCCATTCCTGTCTGTTTGGATTTACTTTTATTTAAAACCAGTACTTCTTAAAGTAAAACTTAATTTTTTCACACCATCTCAAGGTCAAACAAATGACTTGTGCAACAGTTCTAGATAGTGTTATAGAGTGGAGGTTGACCCCCCTCCGAACTAAAACCAAATGACTCAAAGAGGAGCACCTCACCCTATAATCTGTAAAAGGAGTGTGAACGTGGAATTTCTAGTGATTAAATAAAGTAAATCCTTGACATTCACTTTAAAATCAACAAGTAACAATTTATTTATCTAACTCTAACAGTGAACAAATTAACTAAACAACTAACAAACTGAATAAATCCCTTCTAACTACTAACTGTTCCCAAATAAAGCAAGATTCTAATGGTGTGCTGTTCCAATCAATACAGGTCCCACATATATAATATTAAGAAAAGAATTTAGTCTCTCGAAATTACAGTCAGGTTACATGTCTTCCAGAATGTTCTGTGCCTTCTCTGTTGATTCTTCTGTCAGGAATATTAACTAGTTGCGCTGTTAGTATTGTAGTTTTCTGGATGGTACTTTCTTTAGGACATAAACGAGGCTGTGAGAGCCAGCAATTCTCTCTTGAGAGCTGAGGGCCGTTAGCTCTGGTGGATGACAGCTGACTCTGTGCTCTGTGTCCATTCACCCTTTTCTTTTTATACCTTTGATGACATATCAATATTTCTTACAATAGGATTTGGACCTATGTTGTCAAAACCATCCGGCTTAAATTTAATAGGTTTTTGGTATCGAAGTACCTGTTTCAAATTGATCAGCTAAATTCAAAAGCCTGTCATCGTGGTAAAAAATGCAGCTTGGCCTGCTAACTGTACGGCCTTTCAATACATATATTTCAATTTGGGTCCTCTCTATGTACTTGCAAACTTTCAGGCTGCTGCTCACAGACATCCATTTTAAATCTCCAAGCACAGAAGAAGCATATAATCTTTTAAAGGGACCACGCAATGCTTTCCCCTCCTAGCATTTTACAGACACCAAATTCTAACTACTTGCCTTCCAATCCACAAGTACTCTACCCAGCTTCGCAATAGTAAAGTTGAATGAAAGGTGGTTAGAAGGTGGAGTGGTTGACGTTATGCTTACTATGCTTATTAATTCATACATCAGTGGAGAAGCAGAAGCAGATTCTCGCAGCACAGAATGAACATTCACCTTCATCTCAAGGCAGCAGGAGTACAAAAGAATGGGAATTTTGCCAGCTGTAAAGATACGCAACACACAGGAAGAAAAAGCCTTAAGCACCAATAAACAGGAATTTAAAAAAAAATAAACATAAGAATCCAAGTTATATTCCAGCATGCTTGAAGACCTTGGAAATATTCATTATTTTGTTTTAAAATCGAAAAAAATGCAGTAGTCAAAAAATTCAACATGAAAATGTTGCTAGCACAAAGAACCATACAGTTGATTGCCTGTAGAGCCATCAATGCCAGTGACTGAAGGTCTAGGTCTCCTATAATTTAATGCGATTTGTAAGTATTGAGAGTGAAATAAAAGAAAACAAGCAAGTTATCACTTGGGAGTATTAGTGGACAGAGCATGTGTAGTGCAACATGGGAACCCCTGATTTAAATCATAGTTCATACGGCCAATAAAGTTACCTCTCTGCTTTACTCCTAATGATATTTTCTCTGGTAAGGACAGGAAATTTCAAAACCACTCTGGTGTTTGCTATAATTTTTCTTACTCCTGCTGCTTTTATTACTCCTTTTACAATCTTCAGATTTTGAGCGTTCCTCCAGCAGTGCAATACAATTATGATAAAAGGTATACGTACACTTCAGACCACTCCAAAATTGCTCAGTATTAATTTAGCACCCCAGCAAGACAGAACTGACAAATAAGATCTGCTAAGATTTGAAGCTTGGCATCAAAATTATATAAATGAGGGTCATGTGCAAGGGAAAAACATGGCTTGCAAGGAATAGAAATAAGGAGGGGTGGTAACTGCAGAAGATGCAACACCTGCCCATTTACTTCTTCCCCTGCTCACCATTCAATGGCCTAAACAGTCTTTCCAGGTAAAGCAGCATTTAACTTGTACCTCCTCCAATCTAATCTGTTGCATTTGCTGCACCCAAAGTGGCCTACTCTGCATTGGAGACTGGGTAACCGCTTTGCAGAACACTTCCGGTCCATATGCAGGCATGATCCTGACTTTCCTGTACCTGGTCATGTTAACACCACATCCTGCTCACGTGCACTTGTTTATCCTCAGCTTGCTGCAATGGTCCAGCGAATCACAGTGCAACTGGAGAAACAACAGCTCATCTTCAGACTAGGCACTTTACAATCTTCTCAAGTTAATATTGAGTTCAACACCTTCAGATTGTGCACGTGCTCCCATTTCTTCCCTTTCCTTTAGATTTACTTGTATTCTCTGTAACCATTTCTTCTGTCCTCTCCACGTACTCCAGTGGAGCCATCTATTCTTTCCAGCTTGGCGGTTAGACACACCATTGTTCTGCCATTCTCACATTCTGATTATTTAATCTGAACTATCAACACATTTTCTCCCCCAGCTCTCCCCCAACCACTACTGCATAAATGCTGCCCCCTCCATGCTTCATACCAGATCTGATGAAGAGTCATTTAGACTCAAAATGTTAGCTTGCTCTTTCGCCATGGATGCTGCCTAACCTGCTGTGATTTCCAGTATTTTTTTGTTTCCAGGTTATTTATGACACTTTGTTTTCATACAAACAAAAGTAGACAGGTCATACCTGGATAATCTTACTTTTTTTTTCAATTGGGTGCTGGAGGTGAGCTACCTTGCTGAAATTCTGCAGTCCATAGATATGCCTGAGGTGCTGTTAGAGAGGGTTTTCCAGGATAATGACCCAGCAGTGAAGGAATGGCGACATAATTTCAAGTTAGGTTGTGTGGCTTGGAGAGAAAATCGTTAGTTATGTTCCCATTTATCCCCTGTCCTTATTTTTATAGATGTAGAGGTCACAGGTCTGGTCAGTTAAAGTACATCTTGCACATTGTACACCCTGCTGGTACTGTACTTCAGTGGTGAAACTGTCCAAATAGTGGAAACATCTTCTCAGCATCCACAATATTGAGGCCTCTCAGTATCCTGTAAGTTTCAGTCCGCCTTCATCTTTCTAAACTCCATTGAGCACGGACCCAGAACCGTCAACTGTTCATCATATGACAAGCCTTTCATCCATGGGATCATCCATCTACATGTCTTTTGGACCCCATGCATGCACACACACGTACACATCGCCAGCACATCTCTCCTCAGATATGGGATCCAAAACTGCTCCCAATATTCCAAATGTCCACTATGTCTCCAGCACCATTCTGTTCTTATATTCAACATAAACATAGCAATCCTATGACAAGGAATAGTAAAAACAATAATGTCACAGAGTCATAAAGATGTACAGCATGGAAAGAAACCCTTTGGTCCAACTCGACCATGCTGACCAAATATCCTAAGTAAATCTAATCCCATTTGCCAGCGTTTGGCCCATATCCGTCTAAACCCTTACTATTCATATTTATTTGAAGTTAAGATTGTATACATACAATGTTAAAATGAAAGTTATGTAAACTTGTTTGACCTCTACCACTGCAGTGGATTTAGTACTTAATGTTCCAATTAAAAGTGAGTGATAATTGACAGCTAGTTAAGATATGATCCCTTAAAGGTACATGTTCATCACATCACAACAAAAACACTCATGGCACAGCTTGCAGTGGGATCATTGGCAATCGCAAGTGAGTCTGCGGGACCTGAAGCTCTGCTCCTGGCTACTGTTGAAGAGAAGGCCCAGTTGCAAGGGGGGCTCATAGCAAGGGGGAACACTTTTATAAATTCAGAGTGTGCTTTTCTCGTTCATCTTCAGGCTGCCCACAGAATCGAAGAAGGTATCTGGTGTGCAGAGGACTTTGGAATAAGGTCCGCCAACAGCTTTCTGTAGGAGGCTCGTAGGCATGGGAAAATCTCAGAAATCTTGGACCAGATGTTTTGCAAGGAGGCCTGACATATAAATCTCTGTGCTCATTTCTAAATCTCTGTGCTGGATACTGAACATTATCCAGATGTAACAGAAAGAGAAATCCGCCCACAGACCATCTCCATTTTGTCCTGTCTGATTTGGCTGGGTGGCTGATTCAGTGGGTCCTCCCTGCCTCCTTCCCAGTGTTATGCATCATCAGGGAATCACACACCCAGTTTCTGTACTTAACAAGAATTTCTTAGCAAGAAGTAGATTCTATCTCCAGATAAGTAATTATGAACCGTTAACATATACCTCTACTAGTGGAAATTCTAACGCAGTTATAAGAATTTTAACTAGTAGAGGTATATGTTATTCACCTTACCTGTGCCCTTCATGATTTTATTAACTTCTATAAAGTCACCACTCAACCTCCTCTGCTCCAGTGAGAAAAGTGCCAGCCAATCTTCATAACTCAAAACATTCCATGCCTGGCAACATCAAGGTGAATCTATTCTGAGCCCACTCCAATTTAATAATATACTTCCTATAGGAGGGTGACCAGAATTGTACACAATACTCCAGAAGAGACCTCACCAGCTTCCTGTACAACCCCAGCATGACATCCCAACTCCTATACTCAAAGGTCTGAATAATGAAGGCAAGTGTGCTAAGTGCCACCTTAACCACCCCATCTACATGCGATGCAAATTTCAAAGAATTATGTACCTGAACCCCTATTAAGACCGTCCTTCTCCCATTTTGGTCCACAGGAATAAAAAAATGAAAAAAATTGAAATATATACTTTTTAAGGATGAGTCTCATATCCCTCCATGAAGTCACTGTTTACAATTAAATTTTGATTTTGTAAAATTTCCATTTGTACTAAACATTTAATGAAAAATTCCTGAGGTAATTTGCGGATCTGCCTCCTATACCTATACCAAGGAATGCACCTGGATAGTCTGTGACCCACAATGTTCTTTTTTTTCTATACATAAACAAAATGATAATTGTTCCTTTCTTGATTGAAGGGAAAATAAACCTTTTTTCATTTGGTAATTATAAAGTATGTGCAATAGTCATTTGCATGGAAATACTTACTAAATTTAGTTGTGACCTTTTAAATTCCATAAATTGCGAGCGACCTGTTGGAATAATAACTTACAATTTCTCGCCAAGAAGTATGTTTTAATAAGAAATTGTCTTGCAATTCAAAACTGATTTCTAAGGAAATTAAATGCCTTTTATACATAAATTGTTAGATTTGAACTGTTAATGCATCTACATTGTGATAAGCCACAAGACAATACCGACTTGATGCATAATGAGTGTTTGTTTTATACCAGTCCTAAACATTACCTTACAATTGTCATGTAGATCACTGTTGTGCACTTTTAATGTTGGTGGTTTTTTTTTCCTTTTTTTTTGCCACATAAAGCTCTGAGAATGGTGAAAAGGCTGAGAAGGATATGAAAGAGAAAGAAGTGCTCGAACAAGCAGAAGGAGCAGGGGAAAAGGCAGAAGGGGAAGGAGAAAAGGCAGAAGCAGGAGAGAAGGAAACAGGAGAAGGACAAAAGGCAAAAGGAGAAAAAGAGGAGGGAGAAGAAAAAGAAGAATCTGCTACACCAGCAAGAAAGATGAGGAAGAAAGCTAAGCAGGAGAGCAAAAAGGAGGAACCAGAGGCAGTAATGGAGTTCTGGAACGAGTTTGAGAATTACAAGACTAAGCTCCTGGTAAGCATGAACACATCTAAAAAGCCTGAAAAGGAATCTGTTAGGACTCCTGCGTTAAACATGTCTGTCAACTGGCAACTGTTGGCAGCCGAGACTGCCTCTGTCATAGTCCTAATATCAATAGAAAGTTCATATGAGCCTGATTCCTGGAAGATCTGATAGACTTTCACATCGTAACAGAGAGCAGAGTCCTCTTCACTAATGGAGTCATAGTCATACAGCATGGAAATAGATCCTTCAGTCCAACCAGTCCATGCCAAACGTAATCCCAAACTAAACTAATCTCACCTGCCTGCTCCTGGCCCACGTCCCTCCAAACCTTTCCTATTCACGTACTTATCCAAATGTCTTCTAAACATTGTTACCACATCCACCACTTCCTCAGGAAGTTCATTCCATGTGCGAACCACCCTCTGTGTTTTAAAAAAAAAAAATTGCCCCTCATGCCTCTTTTAAATCTCTCTCCTCTCACCTTAAAAACGTGCGCCCTAGTCTTGAAGTTCCCCATCCTAGGGAAAAGACAACTACCGATAACTCTATCTATACCGTCATTATTTTATTAACTTGTATCAGGTCGCCTCTCAACCTCAATGTCCCAGACTATCCAGCCTTTCTTTATAACTCAAACTTGCATACTCAGCAACATCCTGGTAAATCTCTTCTTAACCCTCTCCCGCTTAATAATATCCTTCCTATAACTGGACAACCAGAAATAGACGCCGTATTCCCTCATGCTTTTGAATTTAGTCCAAGGCTAGGAAGATACTACTTTCAAAAGTGTTGCTGAAACTGAGCTCTCCTCCACAATGAGCAGAGTGTTCCTCTTTAGTGATCATTCTGTTACAACTGCACACAAGAATTCTCCCAACTTTGTTCCAAATTAGTATACCAGTGATATTAACTCCTTTTTTGTTTTAAGACTCTTTCCGGAGTCTACAACACAATATTTCATGTATCAGTTTGTGCTCAGACTCTCAAAGTGTGCACCTTGCCTACTATAAATTAAGAAAACAGCCCAAATAAGAAACATAACCAAAAAGCCAAGCAACCAGGAAATGTATCATTCAAACCCAAAGGCAGAAGCAATTTAAATTGTGTTACCTGTTGACAAAGTTCAAGTTTGTTAACAGTGTGCAGAATATAATGGTGTTCTCTCATTTCTCTTTACATGAAAAAAACTGTAATCAATTTAGTCTCGAAGCAGAACACAATGACGTGTAACCGTGTGGCATGAAATAAGTGGCATGTGTTTTTTGACTGCAGAATTACTTGTCAAGGAATTTCTACAACCTCCGCTTCCTGGCTTTGTTTGTGGCATTTGCAATCAACTTTATCCTCCTCTTCTACAAGGTAAATATAAATGATCAAAATAAAGTATATTTACTGATTACCTCCTTAGGAAAATTATACCCAAAATTGCACTCAAAGCTGAGCTTTTTCACCAGCAACACATTAAATTCAAGTTCAATCCCTGTATCATTGTTATCCAAAGTAATATTAATGGCAATGATGTGGAGATGCTGGTGTTGGACTCAGGTGGACAAGGTCAGAAGTCACACGACACCAGGTTGTAGTCCAACAGGTTTATTTGAAATCACAAGCTTTTGGCGTGCTGTTCCTTCGTCAGATGAAGTCTGACTTCAACTGACAAAGGAGCAGCACTCCAAAAGCTTGTGATTTCAAATAAACCTCTTGGACTATAAACTGGTGTCATGTCACTTCTGACCTATATTTACGGCAAGGCTTTCCATTGGCCAGATAATCATTTCTGAAGCATGAGTGGGAGTTGTGTAATCCCCGTTGTGGCAGATTCCAAGGGAATTTCCTGGGAAATTAAAGACTTCACTGCCCAATTCCTGTAAACTTGGAACCCTCCGAAAGTATCCATTTATATTGGAGAATTCAGAGGGTTCCGCACAAGTTAAGTGAATAATTACTCAAGAAAAATTAAACCACTAAATAACTTGTTTAACTCTTGAGTAAGTAACTATTAAACTGACCTCCAACATACCACTCATATGCTCAATTATACCTTCTCCCAGACCCTGGCCCAATGCTGTCATTGAAGTGAGATTGCCAGTCCTCAGAACATCCAGCTCTGTGCTTTTAACTTCAGCACATTGTCTTGGCTTCTGAACTATTTCATTCCATCATTAAATCACCCTGGTTACACCTCCATAACATCACCAGTCTCCATCTCTGCATCTGTTGACTCAACTGCCAAAAGCATAATTTGTGCCTTTGTTACCTCTAGATTCAGCTATTCCAATGCTGTCTTGACCAACCTCGTACTCTCAAATGCATAAACTATATTTCAGCCAAAGCTCTGCTGTCCATACCCTAATTCACATCAAACCCTGTTTGCACATCAAGGGCCTGGAACAGAGAACTACATTCGGCCCAATAACCGTGACCTGGACTTTAGATCTTCTGTGCTCAGGTTTGGCTGGGGATGTCACTTGATGTATAATGAGTGTTTTCTTTCAGTCCTCCAGTTTAAGAGTAACTGGTCTCCTGTTTAAGACTGAGGTGAAGTGAAGGGCCGAATGGCTTATTTCTGTTCTTAAGTCCTATGTTCCTAGCAAACTAATGACTTCAACAAAATGCCTCTGTTTTCAACATTACTCACGTTCTGCAGTACTAAACAATTGCTTGATCATCCTTTTGTGACATCCGTGGCCATCACCATTCCCTAAACCCCTGTAGCCATACAACCCCATGAGATCCTCATAGTCTTCCAATTTTGTCTTCTTGCAATTTCCATTATCCCTCCATTGATAAGTACTTCCAATACATCAAACCCAAGTTCTGAAATTCCCATCTAAACCTATCTAATTCACTGTTCTGCTTCAAAGCACATTCTAAAATCTACATCATTAACCAAACTTCAAGGATATATGTCCTTGCTTTATGGCTTGTTACTGTTACGGACCAGACCAAACCCCTTCAAAATATATTCAGAAGATAGTCTAGACTTACACGTAACTTTTTTATTTTAAAGTTAAAGGTATGCGTTCCAGATGCAAATGAATTGGTCAAACTACTGGACATTAAGCAAAATGCACTTCATTTTTACACTACCATTAAAATACAGACAAAATAAAAATAAAAGAATTGGCTTAACTGTAGCTCTAATGAAATGCTTAACAAAATAACAGATATATTAACTACTACTAATTAACTGTTCTGATATAATAACATCCCATAAACACACCCTTGACAAAGGCAAAATTTACTGAACTAGATCGCCTCACAGGCAATTCTCCAGTCCAGGAGGAAAATATCAAGAGAAAGTTCTGTGAGAGAGAGAGTAGCAAGGAAAAGCATCAAGATCCCAGCTGCAACTGCAACTGCTACTGCTAAACTAAAACTAAAATTCCTGGTTCTGAGGGGGCTTGACCACACCCATTCATCATAGAATCCCTACAGTGTGGAAACAGGCCCTTTGGCGCAACGAGTCCACACTGACCCTCAGAGCATCCCACCCAGACCCATTCCCCAATAACCCACCTGATCTACAAATCCCTGAACACGGGGAATTTAGCATGGCGAGGAAACCTGCGCACCTGGAGGAAACCCACACAGACACAGGGAGAATGTGCAGACTCCACACAGATAGTCACCCAAGGGTGGAATCGAACTCGGGTCCCTCGCGCTGTGAGGCAGCAGTGCTAACCACTGACCCACTGTGCCGCCCTTAAAACCTAACACTAGCTTTGACGCATACCTGGCCAGTTACCTGGCCCTGGCCCTACCCTAACAGAATGCTTCTATTGTTCCAACCTTAGAAAAAAACACCAAAGGCCTCACAAGCTGTTTACTTTATGGGCTTCAAAAAGCTCATCTCCTGCCTCTTAAAGAAATCAGGACAAAATACACCTCTTAAAGCAATAGCATCATGACATTACCAACTTTTTGTTTGATTAAAAAGCTATGAAACACCTCCAGATGTTTTAGCATGTTATAGGTACTATCTACCATAAACTTTTTTTAAAAATTGTTTTACATATGAATTGTTCTTTATATATAACTCTTTATATATAAACTCTGCCTCTTTCCACCTGTCCTGCTGAATATCTACAGCATCTTCTATTTTGATATCAGATTTTGAGTATTCATAGTACTTTGCTCTTCAAAAGTACTTACACTGACTGGGGATCCTCACAGGACCACTGTGAAGAAGTGACAGGTTTTCTCTTGTGGAACACCTATCTTTATTTATAATGGCTGCATTGCAAAAATGCATGACTGACAAATTAGCACTTAAACTTTCTTTCTGCATTCTTCTTAAGAAATTAAATATAGCCTCATAGTACACCATACGGATGCCTGTTGGTAACAAACCAGCAAAAGATCTGGCTAGCTGATTGGCATATCCTGATAGAATAAACCTTAAGAATTTGATGAGCACTAGCAGTTGCCACTCTGTTTTCTTTTAACATATGACAGGTGACACAACTCGAAGATGAAGAAGACTTGGAGGGACCAGGCTTTGAGGATGATATGGTTAGCGTTGGTTTTGGAAATGGAAATGGAAATGGTGATGAAGAGGAAGAAGAGGACGATGAAGATTCATTGGTTTACTTTGTCCTTGAGGAAAGTACAGGTTATATGGCGCCAACACTGAAAGCCCTCTCCATTCTTCACACTCTCCTGTCTTTTCTCTGCATTATCGGGTATAACTATTTGAAGGTAAGTGCAAAGGACTTGAAAGTAAAGCCAGTCTTCTGTTTGCTTTCTTTCCTTAGCACAAACGCTCATTTTGTAATGCATGCGATCGATAAGTTTGTCGCTTCAAATTCTTCAATGCGATGTTAGCACCTTAACAGCTATTTGAAAAATTTCATGCTCAGATTTCTTCATGTTTCATCATTTAGTCTGTCCAAATCTCAAAACTGTCATCTTATTGGAGCAAATTGGGTTCAATATTTTGGTTGTACATAAAGTGTCAGTATCCTGAAAATGAAACTTTAACATGTTTGGACAAAGAGAGGATATAGGAGAGCATTTGAAAGCATTGAGAAATGATCTGAAATACAGTGTCTGTAACTAAAAGATGGTTGAAAGCAGATTTAGTAGTGACATTCTGAAGGGAATTTTCTGGAAGGAGTAATATCACAAGGCTTCTTTCTAACTTGTTTGTTGGCTGTGCCAGTATTTGTTGCCCATTCCTAATTGCCCAGAGGACAGTTAAGAGTCAACCACATTGTTGTGGGTCTGGAATGTAGGCCCGACCTGGGAAGGATGGCAGTTCCCTTCCCAAAGAGTTTTAGTAAACTGGAGGGATATTTTTATGATAATCAAGAATGGTTGCATAGTTGCCATTAGAGTAATTTTGATTGCAAATTCCAGATTTTTATTGAATTTAGTTGTCATTATCTGTCATAGTGAGGTTCAAACTCTTGTCCCCAACACATTAGCTTTGGGCAGTGGTTAGCATTATATCATTCCCTCACCACCACCCCCCCAACCCATGTCTGTGGGGAAAAAGCAGGGAAGTGGAAGTGCAAATAGTGAGGCACATTTCTGCGAAAGATTTCCATCCTGTATGATTGGATTCCTAAGGGTTCTTAAGTTTCAGGACAATGGATTTACACTCCTGGCCCTTTCTTCAGTCTGTGAAATATTCACAAGTTCCTGTCCTTTCACACCAGTATTTACACACTGGACTTCTGACTCTAAAAGGTGACCCTTGCAACTGGCATTGAAATGGTGCATAAGGTAGAGTCAAGATGGTCCTTCCATTCTGTGCCAGTATTATGTCTTGGTCCAACTGATACCTACAGATTGGGTTTGTTTTAGCTGGGAAGAGGAATGAACACCAAGGCAAGTATGTAGCAGAACTCTTTCACCCTTTGCCTGCTCTAGGTCTGCTAAAAAATAGGAATACAGAGATATGGAGAGCCCACATGATAACTCTAGTTGGAGAGTTGGCTCAGCCTGTAAAGCCTCCTTCCCTGATATCCAGGTCTATGGCCATAACTTTCCAATCAACAGCATAAGTGTGTGGATGGGCAAATTCAGTACTCAGCCTAACTCACTGCCCACAGCTTTGAGAAAGCTTGCCAAATTGTGAGCCAATCAACTTGTTTAAGAACTGACCGACGAGCTTCTCAGCTTATCACAGGCCCTGACAACAGAGTCCCAATTCTCCAAAACCTGCAAAACCAATCAGAGGCTAACAGCCTCTGGGTCCTAAAGAACATCAGTCAAGGTTTAGTCTTCAGGGAATCCTGATGTGAGAGGATAAGTGCATTTTCTTTGCTCCTTGAGGGAGAAGGGTGTTTGAGGCAAGCACCCCAGAAGGCTTTCGATCACCACCCCTAGGTGGGAGTAAATGGAACATTGACTCTTCTCCCCCACCACCACCACACCACTTGCAATCTGGCAGGCGAGACATCATGGAAAACCAGCCATTTTATATTCCTGCCAGGGCCTTAATTGCTGGCAAGTCAAGAAAGTCCCCATTAGGGTTCTTGAGGCACAGTACTAATGTCCCTACCTCTGAGCAAGGAAGCCTTGTTCAGGTCCCACCTGCTCCAGAGATATGTGATAATATCTCAGAGCAGGTTGGTTAGAAAATATCAAGAAGCCCCCAGTGGACCATTTCACCCATCACTTATTTAATGAGATGGCAAGGGGGAGTAAATACCTCTCCAGGGTCAACTTGCCCAATTACTTCTCCTTCCTGCCACCTCCAGGGAGGGTAATAGTCTGCAAGTATAGTCTTACTGATACATACAGCTACATCCATCCACTATGGAACTATGTTAGAGCTGCCACAATATTATGCAGTGACATAAGTGACTCATCCTATAATTTCCAGGAGTCTTTGCACCAGAATATTGCCATATATCATTTATATGCTAAAATATGGTATAAGTTTCCACTACACCAAGGCCCAAAGTTTACTGGGTTCTGATTTCATTGAATATCTTGTCAAGTGTACTGTTAAATGCAGTTGTTCAAAGAAAACAGTTAAAATTAAATATTATGTACAAGTTTTGTATTCCTGTGGCCTGGCTAAGCAAGTTGTTTAGGTTTGTCCTTGCATGTTTAAGCGTTTTAAATATTTGGATGACAAGTTACTACAAGTGCAAGTTGATAACGGAACAGAAAGGGAAAGCCGTTTTGAGTGGGCAGGGCAAGCAATTGCATAACTCATTAGAAAATAACTTGAAGGATTGTGGAATTATTGGCACAGAGATGGTATAAGTTTAAATAGGTGAATTCATTGTCATATCAGTTACAGAAAAATAAATAAAGCAAGGAAAAGGAAGACTGGATTAAGAGAGAAAAGAAAAATTGCATTCTTAACATCCCTAAACAATTGAAATCTGGAGGAATTAGATGTCACACTTGTAATTTTTAAAGTTCAGAGCCAAAGAGATTGACTGACAGTAAGACTAACACTAGATTTTTAAATCTACTTGGACACAGAAGGATAAGTTTTTTTTTCCTGTGGTGAAAGTGCAAGTGCAGCAACTTCATGCAATTCAGTGTATTTCAATGGTGAGACAGACAGCAAGATACCATTTTCACAAATTGAACAATGGAATGGCATACATCAAACAGCAATTTCTGGACTGCACATTTGATTTTGCATCTTCTCTTGCTTGAAGTTCCTGTAGGTTTCATTTTTAATAATAGAGTGGTATTAATCACACTGTCAGTTTGACAGGTATTATGGCCCTTCTTGCCATTTAATGATCCAATCAGCCAAAGATAATTTTGAAACTCAGTTTAAGTCATTAAATTAAAATGCGCTACCTTTTAATTTTTGACCTACTTTAGGTTCCTTTGGTCATCTTCAAACGGGAGAAGGAGCTTGCCAGGAAATTGGAATTTGATGGTTCGTACATTACAGAACAACCTGCAGACGATGATATTAAAGGGCAGTGGGATCGGCTAGTACTGAATACACCGTAAGTGCTGAGCGACAGATAGCTTTGCTGCATGTCAGAACTTAATAACAGCCAAATGTACATCAAATTACAATTGAACAGTTCAGCTCTTTTAAAATTATCTGCTACTTACGTATAAGTTGTGTAAGGATGTATCTGTATGAGCTACTATTCTGAATGGACAGTGTTGGTCATATTCAGTAATCCCAAATGTTCTTTTCGTTTAATATGCGGAAAGCTGTTGCAGCCAGAACAAAACTTTCCAATGTGCATGGCTGATGGTTAAAGCAATTGGTCCAAAAACTGGCTACATACCAATTGCTCTCCTCTTTGCTGTGATGAACAAATGGCCAGTGTAACTTCAGTCTGGTCACATAAACTAACCACGTAAAAATCTGTTGAGAAATCCATGTTGTACCACTTGGACTGAACACCTCATAGATCACAGCTGGAATACAGTGCGAACCCCAGCTAAAACAAGTGATCAGGATCCCATAGATCCTCATGGCATTTTGTAAACTTCAGATATTTGTAACAGCACTTACAGTACATTTAAGACTTCCTATCCAGAAGCAGAGCTTCTGAAACAGTGTTCATGAGGTTTGAACATTGCTAGCTAAGCCAACATTTATTTTCCATCCCTAAATGCTCTTGAGAAGGTGGTGGTAGGTTGACTTCTTGAACTGCTTAGGGTTTAGTTCACCTGTTAGGAAGGGAGTTTGAGGAATGTTGACCCAGCAACGTAAAGGAACATCAGTATAGTTCCAAGTCAGGATGATGTGCAGCTTGGAGGGGAACTCACAGGTAGCGGTGTTCCTGTGCATCTGTTGACCCTGTCCTTCTGGATGGTATAGGTCATGAATTTGGTGTCAAAGGTCAGCAGTGCAGTGATCTATCCTGGTTCTTGCTACACATTAACATTTACAATATAAAAGCAGTTTAAATAGCAATTCTGTAGTACCTCACTCGCTGCTACATATAGTTTCCTTATTTTGTTCACTTTTTCAGGGAACTATGATGCTGCATATCTTACATGGCGGTCAGCTAGGGCCATAGACCTTTGATAAATTCTCACTATTAGAAGTCTTCTATCTTCCTGCACACAAACTTTATATAGAACAGTAGCCTAAGCTTCACCATCAGTCCCTTGTCATCCTTTTTAATAGCCATTCCACATTGTGTCTCATGCATTTGCTAAATATCGGTGTTTTAATAGGATCAAGCCTACCTTCATATTGACATGATTTCCTTTTGTCATCCTTTGCAGGTCATTCCCAAATAACTATTGGGACAAGTTTGTCAAAAGAAAGGTAAGCTTTATACTCTTGAAGAGTAATCACAAACATGCATCAAAATTTACTTGTCTTTTTCACAGATACTAAACACCTGTTTCTCATGTCAGTTTCTCTCCAGAATTAAACAGTTGTAATCAATTTCCATTTTTCCAGTAAGGAACATTAAGTACAATATAACTTGGAGTGATGTTGACCTTCAATAATTGTGAAGGCTGTTTCATATTTAGCCATGTTATGAATATAACAAACAATCGTACATCATTGCAAATAAATCTTGTTTTGGAAAAGAACAGATCTTGAAACTGCAAATGCTTTGATGCTTGAGTGCCACTGGTTTGTTGCCCATCCAGAGTCGCCCTCACTCAGTGGCTTGCACAGCCGTTTCAGAGGGCAGTTAAGAATCAACGATGTTACTGTGGGTCTGGAGTCATATGTAGGGCAGAACAGCTAAGGAGGGCAAATTTCCTTCCCTAAAGAATATTCATAAACAGATAGGCTTTTGTGACAATTGTTTCATGGTCACAATCTTTGAGACCAGCTTTCAATTCCAGACCAATTACTTTACTTTAAATTCTACCAGCTTGTTGTGATGGAATTTGGACCCACATTCCTGTATATTACAAGTTACTAGTCCAGTAACATTACCAGTATGACACCATTTCCTTCTATCTGTCATTTTCTGAATTCCTAGGTACTAGATAAGTATGGTGATATCTATGGCAGAGAGCGTATTGCAGAGCTACTTGGAATGGATATGAGTGCCTTGGATGTGACTGTGCCTCAGGAGAAAAAACCAGCAACTGACAACTCTGTGCTTTCATGGTTAGTTCCAGCCTTTGATTTACAATGAATATCAAGCAAAATCAATTTTTCACTAGCTTCATTGTATCAAGACATCTGTAAAATTGGTCTAATAATGTAATTGTTTGTATGAAATCCAAACTACATACATAGGGCTACATTTATTGGGCAAAGCAGTAGACCTGTTCAGCAGCCATAAAGTCAACAGTACCTCTGTCAGGATTCTTGTCACCTTCAGAATGTAGAATCTGCCTCCAACTGCTGCCAGCCAATTAAAGGGTGGGCAATTCATAAAGTCTGACCAGTGCCACCACGAGCAGCAGCCAAGGCTTAAACTACAGGAGGCCCATTTGAGGAACTACGCTAGAGGCACTGGAAGTGAGTTAAGTGCCATGACCCCAATGAGGCTTGTGGTGGAGAAGGATCAGTATGGAGGTCAGTGGGGGCCTCTTTCCCCATTTCCCTGCATGCACACTTCCACCATCCAAGGCTGCAACAAGGCCCCAGTTCTGCCATTAATTGGCCTGTTTTGGGCCTTTATTGCATTTATGGGTGGAAAGGCCGTTCTCAATCATCCCTGCTCCTTACTCAATTGGTATTTTTGAATAGCCAGGCTCTCCACCCCATACTTCCCACCTAACTCATCTCTCACTCCCAGATTTCCTTGGATAGTGTTGGGGAAGCATTTTGTTATAAAGTGGTGGTTGACCCCTCTTCCCACAACCCCCCCCACCTCTCTGAGAACTAAAACTGGAACACCCAAACAGGAGCATCTCGCCCCATAGTCTGTAAAAGGAGTGTGAAACATGCAACTTCTAGTGGTTAAATAAAACAAAACACTGACACGCCCTTTTTACAATCAACAAGAAACTATTTACCTAACTGGAACAGTGAACAAATCAACTAAATTATTCACAAACCAAATAAACTCCTTATAACTACTAACTATTCCTGAATAAAATAAGATTCTAATAGTATGCTGTTCCAGTAAATACAAGTCCCAATTGTAGAAAATAAAATAAAAGAAAATAGAACTTAGTCTCTCAAAATTACAATCAGGTTATGTGTCTTCCAAAATGTTCTGAACATTCTCCTTCGAATGTTCTGTCAGGAACACCTTCTCCGTCGATTCTTCTTTCAGGAATATTAACTAGTTGTATCATTGGTACCTTTGATTTAGATGGCACTCTCTATAAGACTTAGAGAAGATTGTGAGAGCCAGCAATTTTCTCTTGAGAGCTGTCAACTCTAGCAGATGGCAGTTGACTCTCCCATCTTTGTCCAACTGCCCTCTCCTTTTATACCCTTGAGGACATATCAGTTTTTACAATGGGATTGGTCCAATGTTATCAAAACCATCAGATTTAAATTTAATTGGTTTTTGGTATCTAAGTGCCTAATTCAAATTCATTGGCTAACTTCAAAACGTGTTGTGTGGCCTGCTAAATGTACAGCCTTTTGATGCAAATGTTTCAATTCAAGTGCTCTGTGCGCCTGCAAACCCACAAGCTGCGGCCCACAGACACCCTCTTTGAATCTCTAAGCAAAGAAAAAGCACATCCTCTTTTATAGGGACCATGCACTGCTTTCCCCCTTAACATTGTACAAACACCAAATTCTAACTTCCTGCCTCCCAATCTACAAGCAGTCTACCCAACTTCACAACAATTACATTCCACCCATGCGATCGGATTTTGCCTGCTAAACTGCCAAATCAACCTGTTCTGTATAGCAAAAGCAGATATTACAATGATGAAACATCTACAACGTGTGGTCTTGATGTCGTGCTATGTGTTTCTGTTTTATGAGTGTACTGATCGTTTTGTGAAGATTTAATTAAAAAGACTGTAATATCAAATCCCAAGGTGAAAGCTGTGAATGCTGAAACAAAAGAATGAGAAAATACATTAAAGCTTTACACCTAAAGCATGAACCCATTGTTTTCTTCCAGATAACAGGAGACTTGTGCATTTCCAACATTTCCTTTCTTTTCTTTGATTATAGGATCACATCCTTAGACATCAAATACCAAATATGGAAGTTTGGGGTGATTTTCACTGATAACGTAAGTAGATACACGGCACCTTTTTAATTTGGAAAGTGAAACAGAAAATATTTTGAACTAAAGTCATTTTTGTCCTTGATGAATGTATTGAATGGAAACCAAAATATCAATTAATTGTGCAGGATTTGGGATAGGCATGTAAGGGCTTTATCCATCAGAGCCTGTATATCCTCTGTCTAATTTGTACATGCAGTGGTGAAGAAAGGGGAGGGAAAGTTTTGAAGGGACTACATTTTATTCAATGCTTTTCATTTTGGAAACCTTTACCCTGAAGTTATTTTAGAGTTGCTTTTATTGAAGTAAAATTTGTTCTTACTCTGATTATTTCTGTTTTCATCAGTCTTTCCTATATCTCTGCTGGTACATGGTAATGTCTGCCCTTGGACATTACAACACCTTCTTCTTTGCTGCTCACCTTCTGGACATTGCAATGGGTGTCAAGACCCTTCGCACCATCCTATCTTCTGTAACTCACAATGGAAAGCAGGTGGGGCTTAAAATCTTACATTCTGTAAACTTCAGATTAAACATCTTAAAAGGAGCAGTTTATGTTTTCTGTGTCTTAAGATGTTAAATTCTTCTGGCACAGCCTTACACCCTGTATTTCTTCCATTCTCTGTAGCTGATGATGACTGTGGGCCTGCTGGCTGTTGTTGTGTACCTCTACACAGTAGTGGCTTTCAACTTCTTCCGCAAATTTTACAACAAGAGTGAGGATGAAGATGATCCAGACATGAAGTGTGATGACATGATGACAGTAAGCTTTCTAAAACAATTTTCTTATCCAGGTAGCCTAATAACATCTGATGAGAACAATAATGAAGACATATTACCTGCAAAACAAACCTTCACAAAATGTCAGAACTCTTAGAAATAAGAACATGCTTGTTGAAAGCAGAATGGGATTACTAAAATGCTACATCTGGTCAACGTAAATATAACAAGTTGTTATATTTGTTTATATTGAAAGTTGTCATGTAAGCAATAAAATATTTTAAACACAATAGAATAAAAATTAAAGGCAACAGAGACATGTTTTTTGAAATGTACATCAAGGATTAGTTAGACGATGCATACAACAATTGAGGAAAGCAGGCACACAAGAATTTTTACAGATGATCGTCAAGAAGCAACAACAATTCTTTAAGCATATACTTTAGAGAGAAAAGCTAGAAAGTCTGGTGATGATTGATAAAACTGCGGGCAGCAGATACTTGTTGGGGGATTGGAGGAGAACAAAAGAGGAAATATACTAACAGTTTAAGAAGCAGAGCAGGTACAAAATTTGAGAATAACACAAAGATGTTGGCTGTTATCAAGGAACATAAATGTTGGAGAGTCACAATTGTCGATGTAAAAGGTGGTAGTTGAAGTTGTTTAGGTTCATTTTGCTTCAAAATAGTGTCAAATCATATATAATTTTCTGCCTGGAGACAAACCATTTGATCAAACAGGTCTTTGGTGGTGTTCATACTCCACAGGAGCCTCCTTTCACCTTATTTCATGTCACCCTCTTAAAAAAATCCTTCTATTCCTTTCTCCTTGTACCTATTGAGCTTCACCTTAGCGATGTTATATGCTGTTCAGCTACTTCTTGTGGTTCCAGGTTCTACATTCTTAGCCCTTTCTCAGTAAATAAGTTTTTTTCCTGAATTCCTTAATGGAGTAATTAGTGACTGTCTTCCATTTAGGGTCCCCATTTTCAGCATGTCACAAAATGGAAGCATCTTTTCTAAGTCTATTTTGTCTGTGAGTTTGTCTGAATATCTGTATGACTAAAGCAGTAACATTGTTACTACTGAATGCTAGCTACTAAGAAATGCAAAGGACTGGTAACCATTTTTTTTCCACTCATTTTAAGTAAGAAAGTTGCTGTTTCTTGATGACGGCTCAGCCAACGTCAAGGAAATATTGTGGTCAATACAATATTTTATCACAAATAAAAACAGAACAGGCAGCAGCACCAGTGCATGTGCATGTAGAATTGAAAAGACAAATTAGTGTGTCTGGTCACTGTTCCACTGCTCAGGTCTGTTAGTCAGCTGCATAGTTAATTAGCACAGTAATCTCTCAGTAAAATGTTCAAATAAATATATTGATCATGAGCATAAATGGAGTGAACTCTATTCCAAAAGTAGGTATTGATTTCATTAATCTGGGGCTGCTGTGACATAGTAGTGTCTAAGGCTCAAGGCCCAAGTTCACATCCCACCTGCTCCAATAGGGTCACAATAGATTGATTCATGTCCTTTTTAACTCCCTTATCTTCCAGCTAGACATAAATATTTTTGTCACAGATATATAGCAGCTGAGATTTTCATTTTATAGCCAAATGATTTTTTTTTAAAGTTGCAATCGCCATAATTTGCTTCAGCCCAGGCTGATGTGCTGAAAGTGTCCTCTGTGCCATAACTCAATCAATACTATTCCAGTAGGCATGGGGCTGCCCTAACTTGGGACTAATTGGAAGCTGTCACTCAGATATTTGATGTTAGAAACGAGTGTGAGGCAAAGTTTTATTCTTTACCTGTGTATTAAATTATTCCATTCCCTGATACCAACATTACATATGATACCTTTGTAGTTATAATACTCAGATGACTAAAGTCCTAAATGGCCTGTCCCAAGTTCTGAGACCGAGATCCCTGGTACTAGACCCCATTCTCCTCCATCCCAAGCCAGGGAAAATATCATTCCTGCACCTGCTCTGTGAAGACTCTGTAAAAAATTGTATGTTTGAATTAGATCACCTCTCATTTTTCTAAACTCAATAAATGCCTAGTCTGTTTAATCTTTCTGTCCACTCCAGGAATTGGTTTGATGAAGCTTTGTTGCATCTGGTGATTTTCTGGTAATTTGCTTAGAAGCAGACTGTGTTTCATTTTTGCTCCCATTGAAAGCAGTGGAACCAGAAGTGTTTGAGTAACAAGTATTATTTATTTGTCATCCATGCTTTGTCTGTTACTCAAAAGAGTGTGATTTGCAAGGTACTTTAACAAGTAATGACAGAATCGACAGGTATTGTGATATTTTAATCAATGTGACACAGGCATCATTCCTACAGATCCATTCAAAAGTGGGATAACTTAAAACTTGTCAAAGCTGCACCTCAGTGAAACTGATAGTGTTTCTAAGTTGGAGAGTTCTGTTGTTCTAACCTCCATCCATCTCTCTATTCATCATACAGTGTTACCTCTTCCACATGTACGTCGGTGTACGAGCTGGTGGCGGTATTGGTGATGAGATTGAAGACCCAGCAGGGGATGAGTATGAACTCTACCGCGTTGTCTTTGACATTACCTTCTTCTTCTTTGTCATTGTTATCCTCCTGGCTATCATCCAAGGTATGACCCAAGGCTCACTGTAGGATGAATCACTGGCAAAATGTAGTAGACTGATTCCAAAGTTATCCTCTAGCTCTAGGGAATAGTGTCAATCCTAGCTTCAATCAGTTTTTCAATACTTCTGACCCATTTTCTCCATTGAAACTATCACCTTAAGCTAGTCTCCTCTGTCTCCTCCCACCTCATCTCCAAAAATAAGTCTATGGACTTCTTTGCCATAAAAGTGGAGACTATCTTTGCAGCTGACCTCCCTTTTTCCAGTCCACTAGCCAACCTTCCTTCCACGTTCCCCACAGCTCCAGCCATGAAGTCATGCCTTCCTCTAATTTATCCTCCATTCCCCTTATGCCTTCTCCAAACTCCTGTCTGTGGTAACAGTTTGAGACTAAGCCAGTCTTCTTGCAACCTTTATGTCACATCTGGCCCCAACCAAGATGAGTTTCTGATGTGCTCATGTCATCACCAAGATGTCTGTAACATCATTCAACTTTACTTAACTTTTGGAATGCATACATTCAAAACAAATTAAAAGAATATCTCGTGTAAAGCAAGTGATCAAGTGAATCCTCCCTTCTGTGGGCTGCTCATTGCAGAAGTCACAATACTTGTGTTTCAGTGTGATTTAGGGAGCAAGAACTCCAGATAATTTTGAATTGACAAAGGCCATTTTACTCAGCTTAATAAATGCAGGAAGAAACATTCTCTAGTACCTCAATTGCAACATCCAGTTGTTTCACAAATGTTCCAAGGTTTCACCCAATGTGCACTGGGGGGTAAAAAAAAGCATGCTGTCAACTTTTTCTCTTGCACGCATCATGGCTGATCCAGGAATGCCAAATTTCAAAGGGGGCAATAAAGTATATTGCATGAGAAAAGGACAGTGATTGGTTAATAAGCCAACTCTAATTGTTGTGGAGAATATACCAGGCAACTTTTAAATTTTGGAATTCTTGTGTGTGTCCTGATAAGTGCAAGATGGAAAACTTCAACAGCAATTTGTTTTTAGCAATAATCGTTAACATCTATCAGTAAGTCAGTTTAATCCCTTTCTGAAGATCAGGACTTTATTTGGACTGTGCAGATATTTTCTTATTGAAGAGCACATATACATTGCAAGATACTTCTTGTGCAGCAAAATTTCCATGGAGGTCTGCCGATCTCCTGTCTTCACTACAGCAAATATCCCACTGGAATTGGAATTGTTCATGCTATTCCTCCAATCTTGTGACTAAAGTAGGTAATGAAGCATCTCCACAAAAACTCAATAGAATTTTCTGTGATTTTTTTATTTGCTTCTATGCGCCAGTCTATCAGCCCACTACATTACTCCGTGGTTCCAAATATTAGTCTTCACTTAAAGCTGTGCACAGTCTGGCTCTTATTTTTTTGTTTCCCTGCTTATGAGAAAGTATCCAGTAGACCACTGCAGCAACTGGGAGTGCAGCACTTTGGGAGAGAAGGATATGAAAACCAGCTTGCTTCCCACCACAATATCTACACCAGTTGTGTTACTACTATTTTAGAAATAAAAGCATATAATTGCAGTAAATATCTGATAAATGAAAAGCTGTCTCATTCCAGGGAAAAGAAAAATAGGTTTTTGGTGAAGTATTTATATATGAATACTAAATAGAGCTTTGTACTTGTGAAGGAATGACAGTTTGATATTGTTTTCTTCCTCAGGTTTGATTATTGACGCTTTTGGTGAGCTGAGAGATCAGCAGGAGCAAGTGAAAGAGGACATGGAGGTAGGAATAGTACAGAACAGCTTTTTTCTAGCCATCTGTATATTAAAGAAACCATAATAACTTACAAGAAATAGGAGAGGCAGCAGACAGACAGGAATGAGAAATAGGATGGCAGCCCAGTAGCGAAGTTTATTATTTGTGGAGTTCTTTAGAAGTGCTATTCACAATCACTTCCTATTTGCAGAGTAGTTGGGGGGGTGGGGGGAGGGGTGTAGGAGAAATGCCTTTTCTTCCAAAGGGAAACTTTCTATTAAAGAACAGAGAAAATGTTTACCAAATGACCACCTGTCATTAGCTAATGCAGAGCCTGAAAATTGACACATGACATGTTAATCAAAGATTTGTCTTGCCACCTTTGTCTTTGTCCTGATGTTTGTAAGACAATAAGCTTTGGAAACACTGCAAATAACAGTAAATTAGTGCTTCAGGTCCAGCCGTGCGACAGAGAGTAACGATTTCCCTGTAATGACGCCCGATTCACAATTCTAGCCTTACACTCTGATGTTAAATTGAAAACTAATTCCAAAGATTCACAAAAGCTTGGAAGAAAACAGCCCACACAAGATGATGAGTTGTAGTGGGGATAAAAAGCGCAGGAAACAATGAGGTCAGATGTTTTTATTGAGTTGACATTTCTTTTAAAATTTGGTTGCAAGCAGTCAAAATGAAAATGCAATTTTTTTTCCTGGGCTCTTATTGATTATCTGCATCAGACAGATTGTAATGAGCAGCTTGCTGGAACCCAGGAACAGGACACTATAAGGTGCTGCAAGCAAAAGCAGTGAAATGTCCTCAATCCAGAAAATGCAACTTTGCTACAGCAAAGAACAAACAAAACTAAACACTGAAGGTATATGAAGGTAAAGTCCTACACTGTTACCCAGTTTAATGGACCAGTCTTCAGCCCAGCCTTCCACACAGTGTAATTTACTAGAAATAGTACAGAAGATGCACGGTGGCTCTGTGGTTAGCACTGCTGCCTCACAGCACCAGGGACCCGGGCTCTATTCCACCCTCGGGCGACTGCCTGTTTGGAGTTTGCACATTCTTCCCGTGTCTGCATGTGTTTCCTCCGGGTGCTCCGGTTCCCTCCCACAGTCCAAAGATATGCAGGATTGGCCATGTAGTGTTCAGGGATGTGTAGCTTAGGTGGGTTATAAGGGGATGGGACTGGGTGGGATGCTCCAAGGGTCAGTGTGGACTTGTTGGGCCGAAGGGCCTGTTTCCACACAGTAGGGATTCTATGTCTATGCTGTAATGTTATCTCTTGGTCATTGAATTAGGTTCTATATCTTCCCACCTATTCCAGACAGGACCCTTAGCCCATTACAGCTTTACTCATGCATTAGAATCCATGCTTCTGACAGAGGCATAGAGTAATACAACATGGAAACAGGCCCTTCGGCCCACACTGGTCCATGGTGCCCACTCAGCTAGTTCCAATTGTCTGCATTTGGTCCTTATCCCTCGAAATCCTTCCCATCCATGTACCTATCCAAATGTTTTTTAAATGTTGCTTTTTTGAATGTTGCACTTTCTCTAGCAGCCCATTCTATTTACACACCATGCTCTGCGTGAAGAAGTTGCCCTTCAGGTCCTTTTAAATCTTTCCCCTCTCACTGTAAACCTATGCCCTCTAGTTTTTAATTCCCTATCCCTGGTCAGCTCTCATTCTCCTAAAGGAATAAAGTCCTATCCTGGCCAACCTGTCCCTGTAACTCAGGCCTACTAGTGCTGGCAACATCCTCGCAAATCTTCTTTGCGCACTTTCAGTTTAGCTATTTCTTTCCTATAGCAGGATGACCAAAATTTCACACAATACTCCAAGTGCGGCCTCACCAACAACTTACTTACAACTGTAACGTAACATCCCAACTCCTATACTCAATGCCTTGACCGATTAAAGGCCAGCATGTTAAATGCCTTCTTCACTACCCTGTCCACTTTCAACAAACTATGTACTTGTACTCCTAGGTCCCACTGTTCCACAACACGCCTCAGGACCTTACCATTTACTGTATAAGCCCTACCTTGGTTTGACTTTCCAAAGTGCAACACCTCATACTTATCTGTATTGAATTGCATTTGCCAATCTTCAGCCCACTTCCACACCTAATAAAGATCCCTCTGTAATTTTTGATAACCTTCCTCACTATCAACAATACCTCCTAATTTTGTATCATCCGCAAACTTACTAATCATGCTTTTTACGTTCACATCCAGATCATTTATTTAAATAACAAATAACAAAGGTCCCTGCAGTGACCCCTGTGGCACACCGCTAGTCACAGGTCTCCAGTCAAAGGAACAACCTTCAACCATCACCCTCTGCTTCCTACTATCGAACCAATTTTTAATCCAATTGATCTCTTCCTATCATTTCCCAAAAGGAATAATCTGTGCTGCTGAATGAATTGGTCTTCTTTGAAATATGTAACCTCATCTTTGTTCAAAAAAAAGCTCATTCTTTCAATGGGATGATTTTTCATAGTTTTGGAGACCTTGTGGCATAATGGGTTACGTCCCTGCCTCTGAGCCAGAAGCTCCAGGCTTCAGTCCCACTTCAAGAGTCAGTGGCCAAGAAGGTGCATTCCTAGCTCAGCCAAATGGTTTGGTAATCAACCTGAAAACCTTTCCAATGAGAGAGGGAGTGTGTACCTGTCAGCCATGCTTGATGCAAAATCACACCCTTTCAAGCAGTAGTCTCTTACAATCTGTTCCAGGGGAAAGAAAAATCTAGCCAAAAAAAAAATTTACCTCATCTACCAAAAGAACCAAGGCAGGAAATATCCACAATCGGCTGTCTCAAGATTCTTAGTAAAGGGATAACAAGGTGTGGAGCTGGATGAACACAGCAGGCCAAGCAGCATCAGAGGAGCAGGAAGGCTGACGTTTCGGGCCTAGACCCTTCTTCAGAAATGGAGGGAGGAGGGTAACTTCTTCAGGATAGGCATCCTTAGAAGAGGCTTCGCAGTGGGGTTAAAATTGTATCAGAGATAGTAGGAACTGCAGATGCTGGAGAATCTGAGAATCTAGGCCCGAAACATCAGCCTTCCTGCTCCTCTGATGCTGCTTGGCCTGCTGTGTTCATCCAGCTCTACACCTTGTTATCCCAGCTTCTCCAGCATCTGCAGTTCCTACTATCTCTGATTCAAGATTCTTAGTGTTCCTTAGCTTCTTTAATGGAATGGGAAGTAATTCTGCCTGTGTAAAGCCATGCTAGTTGGAAGCATGAATTGGGGATATGGTGTTAAGTTTATAAAAATATAGCCCTGGTTTTCCTGCCACTGGCGAAACTTTGCACCAACAGAGGAATCTTGCAAAATTATTCCTGTGCTGTCTGAGCCTGTAACCATTCCTTTATCCATTCATTTTCAACCTCACATTAATCTCAACCATTAGAACCTATGAAATGAATTTCTGTGATCCAGTATTTTAAGCACTCTGAGTGTGATTGTTCTGTGTTAATGACATATATCTGGTGTGCCATATTGCTCTTTTGTTAATCACTTATTTGCCTCCGTTTGATTTAACAGACCAAATGCTTCATTTGTGGAATTGGCAGTGACTACTTTGACACAACGCCACACGGGTTTGAAACACACACTTTGGAGGAGCACAATTTAGCAAATTATATGTAAGAAGTCAGCTTTGCAAATATCTATGGTCCGCATGAGATATAATGTTAAAAATAATTTCATGCACTATGCCATAAAATCAGATAAACAGTTAAAGATTATTTATCTCAAGTCTCTGTTGTTTATTCTGGTCTCAATTATCTGTCCTCTTTCATTTGCTGATTGCATTCCCAACTTCTTTCATTTTGTGTTCCTTCAATTACCTGTTTGTAAAAATTATCATGGGTTTGGATTTTAGCCTCTGTCCCCCTCCGTCACTGGATGTGTTTCCTCTGATGGAGCAGGATAGCCCAATCAGTTTTAAACTTACTGAGACCATTAAAGGGGCCAATTATTGCCCAGTTTCTGGCTTCACTGTCTTTACTGCCACAACACACTGAGCAATGGAAGGAAGGCAAGAGTAGGAAGGATGATTTTATATTTCCCCAAAGTTGGTGAAATGGCAGGAAAGAAGGAAGTATCACTCAGGCAACCCCTGTGCCTCTCCACCTCATCACACCATTCCCTCAAGTTCCTTATGCCTCTCTTTTTGAAAAGCCCTGACTTAGCTATATCCAGGATCCTTGTTATCATCTTCATGGAGATGCTTGAGGTCCCAGCGAAGCCCAGCAGTGAGTCTGACACTGCAAGAGCAGCCGATCCGTCAGATTTTCTGGCAGATGTCACAAGTGGGGCTCTCTTTCACTGAATGGCAAAGGTCCACCCCACGTCTTGTAAGGCAGCAGGGAGTGTAACATCAATCCAGAGCAGCTTCCTCTTAAAGTCATTCGGCTTACAAGTAGTACACCATCCCATAACATTCAGCCCATAATCTCTATCCCAGTTATGTCTCCAGCAGTACATTCCAAAGTCTCGCAAGCTTCCAAGTAAACAAAGTTCTCCTGTTTAATATTCTTGCCTCTATCACCTTTTAGACCCCTCAAGCAGAGGAAAGAGTGAATAATCAATTACTATCACCTTTAAAAGGCACAGAGCCTAGCTGTAAAGGTGATGTGTACCCAAGGTACTGCCCTTCTGCCCTTTCAGTAGCTGTTACCCCAACTCAGAGTTTTCTCCCTCAGTTATATGGCAATATGTGTATTCAGCCTGTTTGTTACAGTCTGACGTATCTTCTGATAACTTGTCCTGCTTGAATCTCTTTTTCAGGTTCTTCCTAATGTACCTGATTAACAAAGATGAAACAGAGCACACAGGTCAGGTAAGTGACTTTCCTTGTCTTGACTGTATGAACTACTTATACCAGGATGAGTTTGGTCTCTTTACCAAAAACATTTTGAAATTTCTTCATTGACTCAGGAGGTTCATCTTCTTGAGTTCTACGTCTGGAGACAGGCCTGACCCACAGCACAGCAACCTCCATCCCTGGGGAGAGCAGAGAGGCAGGTCCTGAATCCATCCCAGCTGGACTGGAGGTTGAACCCCACACTGTTGTCATTAATCTGACCCAGACCAGCCATCTAGCCATTTGTAGCCCCAAGGAATCAGAGTTGCTATGGCAACATACACTTTTCCGTCACATTGTTGTCCGGAACCGTAGATAAGTTGATGCTAGAGGCTGCAAATTTCTCTCCATCACATGGCTGACCAGGAACTCTCTGATACTGTTCCCTCTGAAATTGCCTCACATGTCAATCAGTCCAAGGGCAATTGGGGATGTGTGACAAATGTTGACCTTGTCAGTCACTCCCACAACCCATGAAAGAATATTTTTAATTTTTTTTTCCCATCTTCACCTCTGTTTACCTAATTTCACCTTAAATATGTCATTATTTGCCTTATATACTTCCTTTAGCATCAGATTCCACATTCTCACATTTCTCTGGATTTCTCTTTCACCCACTTATCCCATAGTTTAAAGCAAAGAATGTAAATAATATCAAAGTGAGAACTCAGTTCTTAAACAAAAAGGAATTAACAGTTACTTTGAAATAATAATCTTGGAATTAAGAGTAGGTGTTCCGATTGAAATTCCATTCTCATTGTGAAAAGTGGGCTGTTTTGATTACTAGGTTGTGAACAAAGCTTCCTACTTAGTTGAACTCAGAAACACAATGCTGAGCTGTCACATTTGCAGATGAAACTAAAGCTGGAAGAACAGTGTGTTCAAAAGAAGGCATATTAGTAATTAGAGATAGTAAGAACTGCAGATGCTGGCGTCCGAGATAACACAGTGTGGAGCTAGAGGAGCACTGCAGGCCGGGCAGCATCAGAGGAGCAGGAAAGTTGACGTTTCGGATCGGGACCCTTCTTCAGAAATGGGATTAGTAATTAGAGTGTTGGATGGAACAGGCAGGAAAGTGGTGCCAACACTCAATAGACAAGAAGTAAAAGCACACAAAAAAAAGTTGTAAGCCATCCAATACTTCACATATTCAGTCAATGTTCTAGTTAAACTACAAAGAAAAAACGAAAGGATTTAGAGGATAATTTACCCATACTACTAAATGCTTCAATCAGACCATATCTTGTGCTTTTTGTCTAGTTTTGTTTGCCAAAACAAAAGAAAGGCAGTCAAACACTGGAGGTAATTCAAAGAACCACAATTAGGTGCTCCATCTAAGCTGCATGAGGACATGGCCATGCAGCTATCTGGAACATTGTTTGGAATTAATGGGCCACATACGACCAGCGGTCCTTTTGAGATACATTTGTATACAACCAGGTAGGAGTTTGAAAGGGATCTGGCAGCAGAATAAAATAAGCTGCACACAACAAAGAAAACTGTTACCTTTCACTGAGAAAGTGCACTGGAAATCGAACCTCGCTATTCCCAGCATCATCGTAAAAGTTCCCTAATTTACCTGTCGTTTAGACAGAATGACAAAAAGCATGGAATGGGTTTCTAGACTTGACAAGCATCACTGTCTATTCAAATAAATAGATTCTAACTACAGATGAATAATTATGAACTGCCAATATGTAACTCTACTAATTAAAACTGTTTCAATTACAAACACCCCTCCCGACACACACTTGAACAAAAGCAGCTCTTTGCCCTCCAGAGGTCTGATGGCTTCTGAACCAAACATTCACACCACCATCAAACACAGAGAACGCTAGAGAAACTAAGCAGGTTCTGGCAACATCTGGGCAGACCCAAACAGAGTTTGTATTTTGAGTCTAGTATGACACTTCTTCAGAACATCAGTAGTACCTTGTTGAAAATTTGAGCTATCAGTGAGCGTAATGTATGTTCCTAGCCATAAAATAAATCTGTGCCAATTCCTGATCCTCTATGGCCAACCAACAGGATTGGTTCCCCACTTGCCTCTTAGCTTGCCTGCATCAGCTGGAATCCACTTATTGATTGGAGTATATAGGGAAACAAGTTAGTCCAAAAATGTAAGTAGTTGTTTGATTAATGCAGCTCAGATATGACCGTGAATGTGGACCATTTACATCAGGAGGGTAGTGGCTTCATCTTCCTACCTCCCACCCATTTGTAATGATCACACAAAGATCTCTTCACGTATCTTGAGAGTAAGCAGAAAACTAATGTAGCCTTGTATCTTGCAGGAATCCTACGTTTGGAAAATGTACCAGGAACGATGCTGGGATTTCTTTCCTGCTGGTGACTGTTTCCGGAAGCAATATGAAGATCAGCTAGGATAAAGGCGTCTGTAGAACACAATGACTGTCAGAATATTGCACTTGTAATGACCTTTGAATTTTACCTGGTTCCTTGCTAAAGTTTGTGAATTGTGTGTCACTGCTTTTTGCTGTGAGACAAATGTTTGTAAAAAAAAAGATAAATACCTAAAGTGAATTTTATTATATACACAGTTTTTTTTTAAACAAAGTACCTGGACCGGTCTTGATTGCATATGAAAACTGGACATTGCTGCTTTTGCACACTCGAACCAGTTAATGAGCCTTGATATAGATTTGTACTTTAGTATACTAATGAAAAGCCTGGATAAATATTTTGTCTAAGATTTTTGTGAATGGGAAAAAAGGTTGAAAATAAGTGCCTTAGTCCTATCCTGTAATAAGTTATATTGAACGAAGGCCTTTTTATCTTTTCTGTTCTGCTAGTAAGGAGTTAACCCATTTCTGCAAATTTTAGTAGCCTAGTCAGAGCCATAATAGCTGCATCCAACTTTCAACACTTCAGTACTGACCACTGCAATCGCTATTAAATTTCAAACAGTTGTTTTGTGCTTGCAATATTATTAATCATAATGATTTTTGGTGGAGTTCCCAAAACCTAATTACTGTCATCAAAAGACGTGCTAACTAGGGCAGGAAATATTTTCTGAAAAGTAGTAGGAATAATAAGATATCTTAAACTCCTCTACCTAAAAGTTCCTGTCTGGACATGTTTTCCATCACATCCTAAGCACTTGTTTATAACGGTTAGCAAAAACAGTCACAAATACCAAAACTGATAGTAAAAGTTCACCCTCATGAAGGCTCGAATATATTTTTTAATACATTTTGAAAATGTATGCTCCAAGTTTAAGTATTACATTGGATTCCTGGAAAAAGAAAAGGTTGAAATGATTATTATAACCAATTTACCCTGTGAAGGTATCTTTAATCAAGTGTTTATTTAATTTGCTATTTGTGTTTGCTCATCTTTTCTCAGTTTATGTTCTGCTTAATGTTAGTTGTTGTCACAGTTTCATCTTGTATATGAGAAGGGTATAAGAGTTCTTGAGCAGCCTGCTAACAAGTAATCATACCATGCATTCTGAATCTGGGATAGGTACAGTTAATGCTTTCTTGGTACACCTTTCAAAAGCAGCTGCAAAGGTTCCTTTTTCCTGATTGCTTCAGAAGGAATGATAACTATAGCACTTAAAAACCCAGCTCTGATTTCCAATTTTCATTCAAACTGACTTTTCTCCAAGGATCAGAATACAGACTTTTTACCCCAAGTGATGTGTTTACTTCGAATTAAACATTTGTGAATCCCTTGACTGTTCCTCTCTAAACATTAAAGCTGTTCAGGAACAGCACATGAGGACATTCCTCAAACAACCTATTCAAGTAAACCCAATTTAAAGTTTATTTTTGTTAAAAAGGAAAGCATTTATATGCTGAAAATGATGAATTATAGAAAAGCTCATGCAAACTGACTGATATTAATGCACTTCACAAATAAGGCTAAACTATCCATCTGTGGCCTTTCCTGTACATTATCCATGTTCAGTCCTTCAGGTTATGTTGGAGAAACGTGAAAATAGTGTAGGTTGAATTAATGTGAATGCACCTACGTTGGCAAATAAAAACCAACTTGCTTAAATGTCTCCACTCCTCATTCGTTAAAACCTTAGCCCTGAGGAAACCAACTCAGTTCCCATCCAGACATGTGCAAATAAAACTAAGATAACAAGGCGTAGAGCTGTATGAACACAGCAGGCCAAGCAGCATCAGAGGAGCAGGAAAGCTGATGTTTTGGGTCTAA